CACTCCCAGCTTGCACGCGGTTTGATTGGCTAGCGCTTGTACTGTCAGATTTGCATAAACGGGATTTGATTAGCTGACGCTTCCACCTCAGCTTCAAAAGTTCAACATTGCTCAACTTTTGAATCCTGAGATGCCTGGAAATCTCCGCTTTGCTTCCCCACAATGCCGTTCGGTGAAAAGCAAGGCAAAGTGACGTCACCCCATTCAAAGTGAATGGGCAGAAGCGTTGGAATATTTTTTTAACGCTGCTGTGTGGACGGGCCGTAAGAATGGCCTGCTCTACTATTTGAAAACAGAATTGCAGTTTTATTGCTTATAGATGATCTAAACATTTCAAAGGGGACAGTGCCACATTGGATATTAACCTATGGATTAACTACATCATCGTTGTTATCGTTTTAATGCCATTGAAGACCAGTTTAGACCAGACAAAGACAAAGGTAAGCCACGTTAGCATTGTGTAGCTACCTAGCGCCACTTCTTTTGGTTTACGTTTATTTTAAGTTGTATCTTTCAGTGTTGAGGTGGGCACCGTTAGATTCTGTGTCTTTACGATCATAAACAATGTGTTGGATGTGCAGCTGGGATATGTAATAAGGGAGCTAGGCGTGATTTCCGGTGAAGTAATAGGTTAGCATTTTTCGCTCGGGGCTAATCCAGAGGCTCACTGTTAGCATTGTGGGGCCTAAGAGGATAAAAGAGTATGTTTTTTTAATTTTTAATTTTTTCACAACAGTTGTATTTGGATGAAATGAATACCTATAGTGATAATTCAAAGTAATACAATTATTTTTACAGTGAAAAAGGTCAAATGGAACTGATGGTTCCCAAATTACCCAGAGGTGAGTCTGCCTGGACTTTATTTTTCTAAACCTCTCTAAAAAAAGGTCACATTTCACTTATTTTGCATCAATCTTGATACAGGGTACTTATATGTTATAGTTTGGATTCCTAAAGCTTTTAGTCTACTAACCCATCATTCAAGGGTGGTTTTCACTATAAGTAATGGGTTTCTTTTAGGCGGACATTATAATTTACATGTTTTTACTATGTTCCATCAGAATTTACTTTAAAATAAAAACATCTATATTGATTCTGACACTTCTACATCCAACTCACAGATGTAACTTTGCTTTGAGAGAAAAGATTATTAATTTACCCCTTTTAGAAGTGAAGATATAGTCTTTGCTGTGTTAGTGGCATTTTAGAGCCTGAAACCTGAAAAACAGGCTAAGAGGTTAATTGCAAACAATTACTATAATCTTTTTTATCTCTCCACTAATGCTCACTGCATTGACTAAATGTCATGGTTTTGGAGAGGCATCCAAGGTCACTTTTATTTGTATGCAAAAAAACTGCATTTTGAGCAAGGAGTCAATAAAGACTTTACAAACCCTTTGACCTTCATTCACTCAAAGCAAAGAAGCTGAAAGATTGCTGCCTGTTATGGCACCTGGGAACGTCTAACATTATCTAACCCCCACCTCTTCCTAGGAGAAAACTCTCTGGGAATGGCCTCGGACAGGTGGTCTTTAAAGTTTATTGAGCAGAGCAACCTGTGGAGACCTGGAAGCAGTTAAACCTCCCAATACTTAATCCTCAAGATTTGTGGGGTCAGCGTGGCTGTGTAGAAGGGGCAATAAACACTTATCAGTGAGGAAAATTCCACTAAACACAAAGCCAATGTTCTTACTTCCTGTTTACCGACTGCTTACCAAGTCTGGTGATAGAAACTAGGACTTGTCAGCTTTAACCAGTTAAGCCTCGAGCCTGTTTTTCAGGCCTCAGGCTCGAAAATGACATTCCCAGAACAAATGACCATATATTTACTTCTAAAAAGGGGTACATTAATAATCTTTTTTCTGGATTGGATTGCACAACTTACTTGATGCTAATGCACTGGTGGATTCTGCAGAAGGTCTCGAAGATGAAGAGACGGGCATTCTCAATGAAGTCCTCCAAACAAGCAACCAGGAAGAAGTCATTCACAAGGACCTAAGAGACAGAAAGCATGCAGTTTAAAGATAAGACAGAAGTTATCACTGTATGTTTTTGGTCTACTTCAAAGTTTCTTTTCCCATAATATAAAAAGGTAATCATTAGGTTTCAGTCCTGGTTGATTCTGCAACCATCCTTTTACTGGTTGTAACAGCAAATGTAATAATTTAATTTAATTTAATTTAATACTACAGGTCCCAGAATATTTGGGGCAGGAAAACAAACTAGTGTCTATTAAATTACAAACTCTGGCAATAATTGTCAATTTCTCAGCATTCTGTAAGCAACTGTGATCAGGGGCCTCATTTATAAAGGGATATAAGCTCAAAAAAATGGCGTACGCCAGTTTCTACGCAATGTTTGCGATTTATAAAATACTAACTTGACGGGAAAACTTGCGGTCCTCCACGCAAACTCTAACCCATGCGTACGCACTAAGCACAAAAACGGGAGAGACGAGAAACTGCGACACCGTTGGCAGAAGGAAGAATGGAGAGAAATATGTGGAAAGAATACCATAAATAAAATGTTACCTCTCATTTATCATATATGAAGAATTCATTTTTCAAACATTGATCAAAGCCAATCTTAAAATGATTAAACAAACGCCTGTTTGCGACTCCTCAGTGCACACAAAAACATAACTTGGAGAAATAAATAAATACGTATATGTTATTTAAAACCACCTCGAATATGTTGTGTTAATGTTATGAAATGTTTTCTCATAAATTATGCGGTAAGCAGGAGGACAGAATTACGTCTAAACTGACGCCGTTTTGCATTTCTATAGGTTGTATGGAGCATGGTTTTATATACTACCATGTTTAATCATGTTTTATGCCGTTTGCCAAGACTTAATAAGTCGCTCGTAGGTATGGAAACTAAGAACACCATATGTAAATTGTACAGCTAACACATTAGTTGTATTTCCTTTAACTGGTGGATTATGGGATATATAGTTGCTGATCGACAGCTGGAACACAAACCACCAAATAAAAAATAAAAATTCAGATCCAGTCATCATGACTCCACTCCGGAGGGATTTCCCGATCATTTCTTAGAGTTTCTCATCAAGGGGGTGTCTCCTGTCCCCGGTACAAACACACTGCCTGAGGAAGTTTGTGTATTTCTTTTGTCATTAACCTTTTTCGGACCACTTATTTATTTATTTTGGTGACGATCCGACCTCCATGCTGCTACTCTGGTTCAAACTGCATCCTCCAAACAATATGATTTATCTCGACCTCCCCAAAATAACCAAAATCTGACACGGTGTGAGATGTCTTTTTTAGCTGTTCTGTCGTCATTTCCTGCTATCTTCTTCATAAAGTTTCTTTGACTATTTATAGGCAAATATGGGCGTTACGTGAAGCCCGCAAAAGCTGCACCGCATTTAGAGTCGATTGTGATTTATAAAGGGAAACCGGCGTAGGAAGTGCTGTACGCATTTTCCTCGCCGGTACGCAATGTTTTGATGAATCGGAAAATGTTGGTGCCTATTTTTTGGATTTCTACTACATACACAACCTTCCCACGTGAATCCTACGCACAGCGTTATAAATGAGGCCCCTGATGTTATGCTGCACACAGCATGAGTGACAGAACAGTGAAAGTAGTTGGTTACCTGGCTGAGCATTTGGAGGCTCACTCTATTGGCACCTGACTGTTCCATTATTTGCTGCAAAATATTTCAAATAATCCGCTGACAAGAAAGGCCCAAAATCACCGTTGTCGCATTTTGTAAATGCATTTTTTGACATACTGTTAAGAGCAACGTCAAGCATATTATATTTCCTATGTATTATTACTTCAGAACTTTATAGGGACAATCTAGCTGGACATATTTGTATTGAACAGCAATGAAGAGTCATTATAAGCATTATAAGTTTCAATTGGTCTGCTTCTGGCAGTCTCATGTCTAATTCAATAAAGGAAATCTTCTTTTTTAATAAAATCAAATTACAATCCCTTGTTGATAAATAGTTAAATCAAACAGGAAAGGCAGAGCCAGGCTGGCTACAATAACATCATTAGATCTGTTTGAAAAAAAAATATGAGGGGACCCTTTGTGAGGTAATACTCCTAGTAGGTGCTTCAAATATTAAAAAAAATCCAAATTATTCAGCCACAACGTGTGAAGATACGGTAAGAACATAGCAAACCACAGAGAACATTGTCAGAGACTTATCACCCGTCACCTAGTGTGCTAGTTCAGTGTCAGCTCCACTGTGCAGGATCGCCAGTCATCCAACAACTGTAGAACCAGCAGTCCAAATAAACTCACAGATGAGAGCAAATCCTTTCAGGCGTCCACATACTGCATCGCCTACGGCTTGTTAGAATAAGAAATACGGCCTTACGTGGACTCTTTGACACCACTGCATATGGCCAAATGCTCATGACCCAGCTATGGCCCCAGAGGTACCACTGTGTGAAATGCTCCCACTTCTCACTGCATTCCAAATCTCCATTGAGTGCTATTTCACATCACAGACCCCGAGCTTCAAAACCCTCCAAGAATTACCAGCCCTATGTTTGCTTAAGCTTAGAAATCTGCTATCTGCACAGAGTTCTACTCTAATAAATCCCAACTACATGGCTCTATCAGGCAACGCACATTTCAGATATGACAACGCTTATTTTAGGCTGATAAACTTTGAACAGTTAAGTGCCCTAATTACGGTCATATGGGATTCAGACCACAAAGCTTAAACAAATTCTGAAAGGGGCTTGAAGGGCCCTTTCAAGCGCAATCTTAAAAGGCCTGACTATAGGTGGGCCTATACTTTTCAATCTTTGACATGCAAGCATCCAACATCTGACAGTGATTCGACATTGGGGTGGGGTGGGAAAGAAAGAAAATTAGCCCTGGTACCGTCGGAATAGAACAATTTAAAACCTACCCATTTGAAAGCACCGAAGACAGGAGAGCTGAAAACAATACCCATATCTTGCTATTACAGCAATCAGTTAATATATATGTGTGCCACTCTTGCCAATGGCTCAGAAATGATGCATTGCAAATGTTCATCAAGACGAGAGCCCATCCCAAAAGGGTATCCGTTTACCCTAATGACTCTGCAGTCCATAAACCTTCCCCTGACCACTGAAATAATGTGCTTTTTAAAAGCTTGCATGTGAATTCAAGGAGGAAAAAAACTGCATTACTGACTTCAAACAAGACCATTTTGGTGGAGAATGTTTGCAGACCATCACAGGTAATGCATTAAAGGTGCTGTTAAACATTTTTTGGAACCACCCAGCACGCTAGATCTGCTTGTGAAATGAATGAGGTCAATGGAGGTTGTGTGTGCCTATTGGACATGCTCTGATAAGACTGACATGTAAGCCAGTGTTAAAAGCACCTGGAATAACTTGGGCTCTGACCTGAGAGGTAGTTTGGTTAGGAGCATCTGTTTCAACCACAGTAGGGTCTTTGTAAACAGAACCCCACGGGGCGAGGTCAAGACCAACCCGGAGAGTTCCTAAAAAGTGCGTGCAATTTTTAACAAGGTCAGTGATTGAGTGCTTGAGTCATGTTTTAGCTGAAATAGGATACAACTCTAATATTGTTGATAGTACATTTCATCATTTGGATATGGCCCCTTGAGGGCTTTGAACAGGAAAAATCTTATTTTCTCTTGGAACATCCTCTTGGACTTTTTTCTGACCATGACAGATTATTTTGAGGGTATGACTAAGTAAAAACAAATCTTCTCCAATGAGTTTTGTCGTAACTTCCTCATTTGTTAAACACTGATTAGGGAAGCTAAAGACTCCTTATATTAGATTTTTAAAAAACAGTTTAAAATGAAACGGAACCGCCAGCAAACCGCTGACATGATTTATAAACATTTACTCCTGGGAAAAAACTATTTGATCAGGACAGATGTTTTTCCTTCTGAAGGTTTATTGTCAAGATGCAAGATAAATGGGCCAAATAACCCAGGGTATTGTCTTTTATTCCTCTCTAGGTCCAAATGATCAAGTCCATTGTGTAAAAACGAATGACAGTTTGTGAGCAAAGGATGAAAAACAAAAATGTAATAACACAAAACATACATATAGCACAACACCAGACCAGCTCTAGAATCAGGAAAGTTCTACTTATGCCATCAATGTGACACATCATTTATCTGTAGAGGCATTCTTGTTACAGTGTACAAATAATGTCCAATTTAGCAAAAAAACACTGTATTTTTATGACCAAATAGTTTACACAAGAGACGAGCATGACCATAAGACTAGACAAGCTACATCAGGCCATCTACTGGCACCTAAAACCAGGACAAATCTTCTGAAATGTTCTGTGACTTATAGAGCTATAAAAGGAATGGAACTCATTGCCAAACTACCTTGCTGAAATAGAGTCCAGAGCCTCTTTCAAGAAGAGATTGAAGGGCCATCTACTAATGACAATGTACCCTTGTGAGCTGTGATACCCTAATTTAATTGTATCATGCTTTGTACTGGTGGGTGTCTTGTAGGGCTTTCCCGAATACCATTTTTCGGGCTCCAGATATTCGGTAGTAATCAGTAGCGAATATTTGTTCCGCGCGGGGGGGACAACCCAATTTGTGTTCTTTGAAATTGAAAAGGATATCGCACTGTGTTTGTTACTTTCGTTGCAGTTGTATATGTCTTAAGTGTAATTTGGCTTGGCTTTCTATTTTGTATGGAAATGCTTTTATTTTGAAGGAGAGTTAGCGCAGTTGACAGGAAGTTGTTGTTGCTATGGAAACAACGTGACGGAGATTAATGGAGAAAAAGTAATATCTACATATAAAGACGGAGAAAGTAAACAATAACGTTTATGGTTAAGTGTTAGCACCCCCGAAGAGGCACAAGCTCTTACGTTGATATTGGAGATTTCAATAAATTAAAAAAGAAAGAAAAAACGAATAAAGAAATTGAAACCCGAATAGTACTCCAACGAACGAATATTTGGATATTCGGGTACAGCCCTAGTGTCTTGTGCACTCATCCTTGGCTGAGATTGATATTGAAAGTGGATGACATTGTTGATGATATTGGAGATTGTTGATAATGATGTCAGGACTTATGTCTTGAATGTTGTAGTATTATTGTTGTATTGTTTTAAGTGTCGGACCCCAGGAAGAGTAGCTTTTGTCAAAAGCAAAAGCTAATGGGGATCCTAAATAAACATAAACACGCAATGTACCTAACTGAATGGAAATGCAACTCTTGCATTGCAATATGTCTAAATATGTTGCACAGAAAGCAATTTTAGCAACACTTTAGAAGACTAATAAATCTCTTATTTATTTTTGTGTATAGAGAGTTTATCATTTCCAGTTTTTGCACTGCATTATACTGAGACATCATTTATATGAATTTGAGAAAATGTTTAAGATGCATTGGTATGGATATGTAGAGGGTAATGCTACACAATGAAAGTGAAACTGATACCTTGTATAACAGTAACTTAGTGACACCAAACAATGTCATTCCTTTACATTGTTTGTCACTACACATTTTTGACCCATGTATTACAAGTGCCATTTGTTTCCTAAACAAATTACAAAATAGCATGTGGATGTACTACTACTGAGCTCTATCTAGAATGAGAAGAGTGTCAGAACTGTTCTTTAACACATATTGTACTAAGAGATCATAGCCACAGAAGTTTTAATAGAAATAGAATTGAAAACAATGTCATACTATGTTTTTCCACTGAGCTCTACATATAACTTATCATGGATCAGTGTTCTCTGTGTGTTCATCTTTGTAGTGAACATACAAAGAGGACTTTTACGTTCATGTTACATTAAGCCATTACAACCCAAGAATGGAAATAAACGCTTTGAAATGACGGTGCTTTGACAGATATCCCTCTTATAGAGAGTGTCTGCAGAGACTTGCTTATAATGCTTTTACTGTTAACTACAAGCCTGATAGGTCAATTAAAGGCCGCTGTCCAATCTGACTGAAGCCTGAGTCACACAGTTTCCAAAAGGAGCTTTATATCTGATAGTATGAGACACAGACTATGAGTGTTCTGTTTTAACGGGACCCAAGCAGAAGTCCATAATAAAAAGCGCTGTTTGATCAGACAGAGGGTCATACAGAGATCATGCGATTACTAACAATGTTTACTGCGATGCTCTACAGCAAAAGTTCTGAAATCCCCAGGAGACCTTTGTTGAGTCATGGAGAGCCACAATAAACCATGACTTCTCTTCTTGGTCACAAAAGGTCGGAACAGAAGTGCTTACTCACCGACTCGCACTCCCTGAGTTTTTTCTGGGCACTGTCAAAGTCAAAGTTTACGTACAGGCACTCCACAAACTCTGTAATAGGATCCTTGTAGGTGTACGACTCCTGAAAAAAAAAGAAATCAATATTATATAATCAAGTATTATGCCTTAAGACATTTATTTCTTAATCAAAGCTTCTATAGCTTAGAATTTAACAATTTCATGTTTAATAAAGTAGATAAAGCATAAATATGTAATTTATGTTTATTGTGCAATTAAAAATAGAAATTAGTAATATCCGAATATAAACATAAGAAATAAATAATTAGATGTGGATATTTGTAACTTTTCTTGCCGTTCATTTAAAATATGATATACTGTTTCAGATATTTGCCAATTCAGTTTTTTTTGTTTTTTTTTCAAATAAAAAATATATAACTGACATCGATAACGATCATGCTGCATGTGTGTATAACCAATCGACCACAAATAGTTTCTGACTGTTTTGACTAGCAATCTATTAAGGAGGTGCATCTCTGGAAATCATAAATCCTAGTTTGGTTGAAGGTAATGACTGGTAATGACTAGATAGTTAGGAAAAACCACCTGTTGGGCACACAAGCTAAATAAAGATAACAGTTTACAAAGGTCTGAGTGAAAACACATTTTGAACTCAAAGACAGAGACCCAGCCTGACCTGAGGCCACAGAGCTGAGAGCACTGGGCGCATGTTTTAAAGACTACCCACAACCCACCAAGACAGTGCTCAGATCTCTAATATAGGTACAATCACTGGTGGAGAAGACATTGGTACCGTAGCACATTCATCAGAAGTAATGTGTTGTGAGCTAGGACCAAAAACCTATATACACGAGCTGAGCTTAAAAAAGGGAAGCCCTAGTATGCTATTGGTTTACTAGGTTTGGGTATAGTTTAGATTTGAATGATTTCAGTTCCGCTTATTGATTAAGGTTGTTAATGGTTCTTGATTTCAGTTAAAGGGGTTAAAAAACAGTCACATGCCTACTCACAGGAAATCCCTAACACTAACCCTGACCCTTGGTTACCAGGCATTTTGGATTTGGTTCTTACTCTATACTGAATTTTGGTTCCTTAACCTTCTAATGTAATGGTCAGACTGTTACTCATCCTCCAACGTATAAGGCCTATAAGCAAAGACCTGGTAGCCATGTACACTTTGTTGTAAAAATAAATAAATAATTGTAATACCTGCTGAATGACCTTCACCAAATCCTTCAGGACCTGCCGACGCTTGCGGACATCCTTGTTTGTGATGATGGCTGTGGTCAGGTAACGCAGGATGTGTGGGCACATAGTCTGGATAGCATTGAGGTACCTGGAAAGAGTGAAGGATATTACTGATTTAAGCAAAGACATGATCTTTACAAGGATGCATAATAGAACATCTTGGCTGCCTTTTGGGCTCCTGGCATTTAGCACACAGGGGAAGCCTTTGCGGCTAAAACAGATAAATGTCCTGACAGGACCCCTCGCTTCTGCACAGTGGTCCCAGCTTTAAGCCGTCTCTTTCATTAGTGTCCTACCAAGAGGGGAGGAGGAAAAGGAAACCCTGGCAAGAAGATATAGATCAGTGAGCAGGGACCTGCTCAGTAGCTGAAACACAATCCATCAGGGACTGATGTTCCAACCACAGGTCAACTAGCTAAGGGCTGAACACAAGAGACAGGACGCTGCTAACAGGCTGACTCTAATCCCACACCAACTGTGGAGACAGGGTTCTGTAAAAACAGCATGTAAGGTCTGCACACACAACATATTGCTTGTCAAGCTGGCAATCAACATCAACATTAAGTGTATCACCAAAACTCCTTAGTGTTTTTTTAATATCCATCTTTGAACTTTACCCTCCACCCAACCCCAAATTGATCAAATTAGATCTGAAAAGAGGAAGTGGAGTGGGCCCCTTCATGTCTCCTATAGCTGAGTCCGGAGGAACACATGGTGTTCAGAGAAAGACAGCCGGCAGCAGTTTAATTAGCTGAAACAATTAAAGGGACAGGGGGACCTGTGGCAGTAGTGATGTAGAGTCTAAAAACAGCAATGGGCTGCTTGGCAAAGCCATCATGTTTCTGGTTTTAGAAGAGCACTCCCTTTCCCTCCCTCCTTCCTTTTGTAGTTGCTTGACTCCCGTGGAAAACCGCAATGCTCCGCACTGTGTTCCTGATTAACTTACACCTACTCACTCTCTAGGGGGGGCTCCAATAGCAAGCGATCCTGCATGAGTCACTGTACCCTATCTGCAGGGCATTCACCCAATTCCACTTAGGGGACTTCATCTTTTTTTGAGTTTGAGGCGAAAAGCGTCACTGCACTGGTTTGCTGAAGATGCTACAGAAGCATGCAGCCAAGAAATAAAGTATGAATTCAGATTTATTCTGTTAAACGGTGTGTGTGGGGGATGGGAGGGGGGAGTGGAGGGAGAACATAGAAGGAAGTGGGACAGGGCACAACAAGGTCACGTTTTGTGGCCATTTTATAAAAGAAAATCACGTTGAACAATAAAACGAGTGATAGAGACCAGTGGTTCACCACCAGGGGTCCGTAATGGAGTTCCAGTCAGTCTCCAGTAAAATGAGGAATAGTTTATTTGTGCGATTCACACACATTCGCAAACCATAGACCAGGCCATGAAGAGCAAAACAAAGTATCTTGCCAAAGGACACCTAAACATGTTGACTACAGGGGCTTATGTTGAAAGAAAATCGACTTTCTTATTGGAGGACGACCAGTCTACTTCCTAAGCAACATCCACCCTGAATAACAACAAATATTTTTTTTTCGATGGCGGCCCAAAAAGCGACATTTTATGAAATTGTGTTCTGTGACCTTAATGGGCATCATTTTATGGGTTTGTTGACACGAAAGCTTTTCAGAACCAATGACTATCAAGTAAGTCAGATATAGTACACAAACAAGTTTTTACACAAACAAGTTTTTGGATCAACATCTGCTGACTGCAGGGGTAAGGGAGGTCATATATGAAGCTGAAGGCCAGCTGCTGGTCACCGACTCCAGCCAAAGGAAGTACTGGTCAAAAGATGGGAAACAAGAGCCAAGCCTCAGTGGGGAAAACATGAGGTTTCTAGACTGTGAAACTGCAAAGCACACAAAACTACCTCAGTTTGTCCACACAGATGGTTGGGTGAGCTTTTCATGAGTAATTATTGGGCAGGCCTCTTTAATCATGCGCAATAAAATTAAAAACTGAGTAAAATTCAGGGAACCAGACATTTGAGTGCGCTGTGTTGTGGTTGCCTGTCATACTGTCTGTGGAGGCCAATCATCTGTACAATTATACAAGCCTGCAATCAGAACAGGGGGGAGGGAGCAAATACATCAGAATGGGCGGTGTGCAAATGTTAACGCAGTGTATAAAGTTTCCGATCTGCGATACACATGGCCTCGTTCCACGATTTTGAGAGTAAACAGACCACACGAAAACACACACTTCTGAAACCACTTTAAAAATACCAGCAGGGTTCATGATGGAGCCCAACACCCAAAAATGTGTTATTAAAGCTAATGGTTTTCTCTAAATCAACTTAATGTTAGAAAAAAAACAATCACTGACCTTTTCTCCAAATCATCTTAGCATTTAGAATTTAGCTACAACGCAATATAATTTCATATGGACCAAATGACAAAAAACAGATACATAACCACTAGGGATGTGCATCTCCATCACTGAGGCCGATGCGATGCGCATCTCGATACGTTGCCACGATACGATACATTAACGATACATTTGAAACACCAGGCGATGCGATACGATACGATTCACCCCTGTTGCGATACAGTTCGATACGATTTGATTCAACATTATGCGATTCGGGGCGATACGATACGATTCAACACGATGCAAAAATAATGATACTTCAATATGGTACGACAGAGGATTTTTGTTTTATTCCTGATATGCAGCAAATCATACATTAACAAAAAAGTGCTTTACATATTTGGTACTGCACATCCCATCATGCCGTTTATTTTTTTACCTTTAAAAGCTCTCCAGAGTACAGTACAATTGTATAACACCTCACAGTTAAACAATGTAAGGATGCATTGCTCATGATTAACAATGTGCAAATAACAGCTACCATAGAGCAATGCCCATACAGCTGCCAGCCTGATGTGCTTACTCATTCATAGGCTAACTCACCAGTGAGCAGAAAGCAGTGGTTTCTATATGAACAATAAAGAATACAAATAACCTTTCACAAACAGGTATTTCATAACTGCTTACAGTAAGGAAGACATTTAAATTATTATTGGCCACAGGCTGCTGTAAACTAAACATCACTCTCTCTGACAGAACACCTCACTGAGTGATTTAACTCATGTCTAACTTTCAGGTTTCTCTTTTCAGCCGCAGAACCCACGTCGCCTCTTTATGTGCGTCGCTAAGTTCCTCGAACTACTTGTGTACTTTAAAGCGGCTCAGCATCGTTAACAATTTGCGAGTGATTTTTCAAGTTGACCGTCTGTAGTAAATAGTGCCGCGCACATATACCATCAGGACGTTACTGATGGGGTGCGGCTGCGGAGTGATACTGTGTGTATGCAAGTCCGCATCTAGGACGGATCTATGTATCATGGCTGTAGACCTGTTAAGTAATAAAGATACCTCATACAAAGGTCTACGGATACCTTATTACTCTCCATGACCTGCGGTCAACTATATAGCATAAAGGACTTTTACACCGTCTTTCTTGAACAATCCGAAGTGTTGCCAAACGTTTGAGTTGTAGGTATGGACTTTGGTTGTAGGTTCCATGTGTGTTGATAACTGAGACTCTCGGCCTCCGTAGTGGCGAAGTAAATATCAAAGATCGTCTCTGCTGAGCGTTGACAAGATGAGGGGATTTTATATGAATGAATCGGTTTTTTACCGATGCAAAGACGCTACGCAATCGATGCATCGCGAGTTCAACCCAAATTGTAGCCGATGTGCACTCTTTCGACCGGTGCACTCGCATCTTGAACGTTTATGCCGGTGCACCGATGCGAATCGGTGAATCTTAACATCTCTAATAACCACACACATACAGCTCACATGTCCAATAAGTCCAAAACATACATACAAATGGTCACATGACCAACACAACAGAAGAAAACTGTTTTGGTTAGGATGATCATTTGTTGAAATACTCAAAGTTGCTGTACAGTCTCTCAGAAGTATTAAGTGGCAGCTTTTGGATGAATTGACCAAAACAATAACTATGCCAAATCAATTTAGGCCAATTTTCAGGAATAGTTCTGAACATTACTTTTCTGCTGTTGTTTGGTAGAAACATATAGAGGTTTAGTATAGATAGAATCCCGACCATTGTGATCTTCGAAGCAACATTAACTACACAGACATGCATATTTTTTAATTCACAGAGCAGATTTTGCCAAAAGGAAAATATAACAGTCTATGGATTTCAACTTCGCTTTATGGTACAACCAGGCTACAGAACCATTCCTTTCATGTTGCGATCGTTTAGTGGAAAGGGATCTTATCTTTACAACTGCTTCCTGGTATTCTTCTCAACATTTCCTGGATGTAAAATCTTAAAAGGGTTAAAACAGGAAAATGTATGAGAAATTGTACTTACTGTGGCTGATACAGAAAGAGCTCAATGATATTGTCTCTGCCCTTGGGGTGGTTGAAGAAGACGAAGAGGGACCAGTGAATGAGCCATGTCCTCTGCTGGAGGGCCTGGAGCGGGGAGGTGACAGTCTGGAAAGGACAAAGATAGGAAAATAGACACGGTTAGGGTTAGAAGAGAAGCAAGGTGAAAAAAAAGTACAAAACAAAAGCTATTCTCCCATAAGGCACAACAAAACCAAGCCCTCCTCTCCCAAATGGTCATCAATAAAACTTGTAACCACTTCATACTAAAATCCAAATTCTTAAGTGGTCTGATAAGTGTGTGTGTGTGGGTATATGCCACAGCAGAGCCCTCCTGAAAATGAAATGTCGATATGGGAGTCTATGTAAGGGAATCTACATTTGGTATCAAATTCTGAGAAGTGGGGCATTTACGTTGTTATCAATAGTCTCCCTCAGGCGGGTGAGGTCCTCCATGGCAGCCTCCCAGTTCTGCATCAGGATCTCAGAGGCCAGCTTGCCCCACAGGGAGTTCAGGGCATTCCTGTCTGTAGCCGGGACCTTTGGAACAAACACAGTGCACTATTCAAACCTGAAGCAAACAACATTAAAACAAACATTTTACTCCAACTGGTTGACATACACAGTGACGCTGGGCTTGAGTTTGCCACTGCTTGTTTGGCTTTAGTGGCACAACTGAACTGGATAAATGGATTAAAGTATGTCATCCGAAGGGAATGGAACTTGACAGAAAAAGATTAAGACTGTTTAAAAAAAAAATCAAATCAAATCAGCTGCACTTTTAGATGCTACAAATGAAACATTGAAGCTGCTGACCATACAGTTAAATAAGAGTAAAAGGCACATTTAGACCATGTGCGTGACAATGTGGTCTGAATGATTTGCTAGTAGTAAAACATTTTGGATGCAGTGAAGTTTAGTAGGCAGGGTAATGCCGATTGCTCAAACCTTAAGGCATATCAGCTATGACAGATTCATGATAGGTTACTTACTATATGGGCTTAGTTGCAGCAAGCATTTCACATCTGTTGTCATGTTTTCTGTTAAGATTTCAACAATTTAATATTATAGTTTCCATAAAGTTAGGGTACACACAACAGAAAAGAACGGTCAAATCTGATGAGGCAGAGGCCCTAGACATTTTTTTCATGGATGAGAAAGGATCACATGTCATAACGCGGCATGCTATAACACTTAAAAAAAGAAGAAAACTGTATTAATATCAACTGATTTATTAAAAAATATATTTTAATCCTCCTACATTACAAACCAGAAATAGCCAAAAGTGTGCAAATGACTTAAATTAATTGAAAAATGAGCTGACCTCTGATGGGAGGTGCAGACACACTTCACAAAGGGATGGCAGAAAACTCTGCACAGTACAAGCTTTGATGGAAAAAGCGAGTTGGAGCACTAGCCAATAGAATTGCAAGTGTTAAATAGTGATGTCACTATGTTATTGAAGTAAACAAATGAGTCCAATGGAGGCGTTACAGGCAGGGTGGGGAGTGTGTGGAAGAAAAACTTCCTCTGATGTGAACTTTGGGATTGAAGCCTTTGCAGACCATTTACATGCACAAAAACCTATTAAACGTTAGTACATGTTTCCAGTGAGATTTGCTTTGTTAAACTTTTTCTTTGCAAGCTTGACCCCATCAGTCTTGAGAATGATAATTACAATAATATCCCTCCATTACCTTGGGTAACTGTCGTTATCACAAGGTAATTAGGCTGAAATATGAACTGACGCTAACAAGACACATCTTTGTGAGCATAATCACTCTGAAAAAGAGTTGCAGGCTACTGTTTCTGATTTCCAGAACAGTCTAAAACAAACAAAAAGGGGAATCAGGTAATGGAACACAGGTTGAGAATGCCTCTGAACCTCGGCAATCACTCGCAAGTAGTGGACATTGGACTACACCCTAGGGCTCATGGGAAACTCTGTGCCACGATGGTTCAAGGGAAACTCTGTGCCATGATGGTTCACGATAACGGCAAACACCAGACGCAAAGACATGAGTCAAGCAGGAAGTCAGGGTGGGTGTCTGCTGAGTGGCCAGAGAAACCGAGATCCTAACCACACGCCCCCGTAAGCCGTTGGACAGCCGCTAAAGTGGACCGTGAGACACGACAGATGTCAAGCAGAGGAAACAGTATAAAAAGAACAGGTTTCCGCTGGAATCCCACAAATTGGCGAGATTATTTGGAGATAGAGGGTTTGAGTTGCACTCTGATAACATTTCCACTAACGAGACGGTGGCAGGTAAGGGGAAAATATTTGGAAAATCTCCCCTAGTATTTCCCCAAAGGAGAACACAGTAACATGGTGTTTCCATCCATCCAGTGGAGTAACAGAGTTTCTTTGATCACAGAGCACAACTTGGGTCTATTACAAATGAAAGTGCAGAAGTCACAAGAATGCTCATTATTGTAACAGCTAGAAGAAGAAAAAGATTGGCTCCACTGCCGGTAGAAAGGTCAGCGTTTCATCTGGTGAAAGTGTTTTGTTTGTTATTTTTTTCCATCCCCTGGAAGTCCCTGCCTGCTACGTTTGGCTGACCTCCAGGTCATTATGGCAGCTTTCTACACACACACAAACACACACAGTCTGGCTTTCACTAGTGGCCACGCTAGAAAAGTTTCAGTACCTGGGTTTTTCCAGCAGTTACCTTAAGTTTCCATTGGTTTGTGAAATGGGCACATTTTCGCTGACTGACCAGCAACAATAAATTGACTGTGCTGGGGATCCGTCGGGATACTCAATCTTTATTCTTAACATTCAATCCCTGCATTAAGTGATGATATGAATAAGTTGCTCTTTTCGGGCTAGGCCGCATTGTAACAAGACCTGGGGCATGGATTTTGCAAGGCTGGCTTCCTTCGTTTAATTGACTGGGTTTCCCACGTTATATGACTTTATGGAGCCTCACCTCTCCCTTACGGGGGGAGGGAGAGACAGACAAGGGGCCTGTGAGGATGGGAGGTCCACTAAAGACGGAAAAGAGGGGAGGGGGAGAGCGGTATACAGACTCCTAATGAAATCCATTTCTACCTTTTCCTCAGCTAAAAAGCTTTTTGCATTGTCAAGAGTAAGACACAGATATCTAGTTACAAAGCCTGATCTGCCTGGAACTTAAAATGAGGGGTATAACAATTTGAGGGGTAAAAAGAAAAAAATAATCTGTTGGACTTTGTACAACATACCTCAATTAAAGCAATTTTGGTTTTATTTAGACTGAGTTGCAAAGCCATAAACAATTGTTGTTGGAACAGTGGGATATATCCCTTGAAAGCTTTCGAAGACTTTCCTTAATGCCTTTTTTTTGTTTTTTAGGGCGTGGAAGCGGAAAGCTAGGGCGAATTACCCTTCATCTTGTCTCGGATGTGACTCTTCCTTCTGCAGATTTAAGCAGATCAGTGAAAAACCCATCACATGAAGTACCCAACTGCTTTGGGTTAAGAGGTTTGTTTGTAGAGAAGAGGGTTCATCATCGCTCCAAGTGCCTGCCAAGTTTTTCACTCTGACATATGAATGTGCATGGCTAGCCAGAGTCAGTGACATCCAAAAGACAACAGTGTAGTATCAGATGTCAATTAGAATGGGAACAAAAAGGTTGTCTAAATGTTTTTCTCTCTAATGAATAGACAAAATGTTGATCTTATGCTAGCCCATTCTCTCAGGGCTGGCTTTGGCATTAGTCCTTGCTTCACCGCAAAGCTAAATGCTGAACCAAAGACAAACAAAAAACAGGAGGAGTCTTCCTTTGAGGACAAGTGAGTGACACTTGGAAAGCACTCACAATGCAGGCTGGTTCCACTGGTCATTATAGGGCATTCAGTTGATTTGAACTTACTTACACTGGATGTCTTCAAAAGGAGTCAAAATAAAGCTACATTTGCGCTATAATTTGGGTTCATTTTTAAATGAGGCCAAAATCGAACCAACGGGGGAGGGGGGGTGCTACAAGCTTGAAGTTGCCTTACAATGTGCCCTTGAAGGCAGCTTCAGAGTAGGCTACAATTGACGCCACCAAGGCGCTTCTGCTTGCATAAGTAATGATGGAATCACCTTGGATACTAACCTCAGATGCTGCAAAGTTCAAACACTTGGTAACTGGTTGTTGTGGTTGTGATAGTCAATGTGTGAAAAGTCCAGGGGCCCAATTTATAAAAGGGATATACGCTCAAAAGATGGCGTACGCCAGTTTCTACGCAATGTTTGCGATGTATAAACAACAAACTCGGCGGGAAAATGTGCGGTCCTCCACGCAAACTCTAACCCATGCGTACGCACTAAGCACAAAAATGGGAGGCGAGAAACTGCGACCTTGTTGGCAGAAGGAAGAATGGAGAGAAATATGTGGAAATATTACCATAAATAAAATGTTACCTCTCATTTATCATATATGAAATTGCCGTTCGCCAATAGCCTACTTGATAAGTCGCTCGTAAAACACAGGAGGTATGGAAACTACGAACACCATATGTGGTAAATTGTACAGCTAACATAACACATTAGTTGTATTT